GGACTACAGAATGGCTAATGAGAAAAACCCAGGGACATTTCTAATCTCGATGGGTATTGCAAATGTTTTGGAGCACAGCCCAGATCTAGAACACCCCAGATCTAGAACACCCCAGATGTAGATGATCTTCACAAATTAGGAAGGAAGAACTAAATCACTAGAAGAAAAATCTAGTGTCAGACTAGCAAATGAGGAGATCTAGAACACCGCAGATCTAGAACACCCAACTCAACATGATCTTCACAAATTAGGAAAGCAATGTGAAGAAAAATCTAGCTGAACAAGGTGGGTTTAGTGCAGACAATCGTATCTATCCAGTTTTGAACCAAATTCTTAAAACAATGTCTAGGCAAACTGAAAAGAGTTCAGCAGATAGCACAAAGAGTTGTAAGAGTTCTAGAAATCCTGAAAGAAAAGGTCAAAAGAATCAGGTTTGCCTAGTGTAGAGAAATAGAAAAGCAAGGGAGAACATGGTAACACCTGGTGAGCATCTGCCTTCCACGTCCTCCAAGAGAGGATAAGTGTCTCACTTGCACAGCAAATGAAGATTGCAAAGACATTTGCAAAGAAATAACAAATCCCACCTGCACCCCTCCCTGCCAAACATTAAGGACAGTTACAGGCAATTGCTGCATACACATCTGTTAATACCAGGTTAAAGATATCTGTCAACTTGAAGTGTTTTAGTGGAAGGGTGGGAGCAATGGCTTAGCAAGGTCCCAGTGCTTTCAGGACTGCTACTGTTACTTAAGATACAAACAGTAATTATTTTTTAGGTTCTCCAGAGAATGAAAATCAAGAAGCTACAGAACACAACACAGCAGCAATAAACACAGTAATTAAATCCATGGTCTCCTTCGGTGGCTTTCACAACAGCACGGCAACAGACTGTATTCCTGGAATGGTACCTTTCTTCTTGCACCCTGCATAAACAATTTTACCGTGCCCATGGACTTCTAATTGGCAATAACTTCTGTCTTAAATAACTAATGCAAATTTAGTAGCCAAATACAAATGACTCTTTCAGAATAACTAATAAATGCCATTTTGTATAGGAGAGATAACTATCTTGCTATCTACTTGATGGTAGTTTCTCTGGTAACAAAGTTAAATATTTCCAAAACAATGCTCTCTAAATACCGGTACAATTTATTGGCGGCGTTTTCAAATTAGACAAAATAAGCACCAGTGCAACAGTAGGATACTGTTGTGCACAACACCGGGAATTTAATATGGAAAAATGAATGGAGTGCGTGTATCAGTAACAATAAAATAGGAATGATACTGCCATGATTCATCGACTGAAGATTTCCGACTAGCATTTACAATAGGCTTGATGCTAAAACCCTCATACCTTTCTTTGGAAAGTGCCTCTGAAATACTCTGAAGAACGCTTTTTATAAATTGCACAGCATTTTAAATAACACGTTGCCCATATATGGCCTTAAGACACAAAACTTCCAGTCACTATAAAATCCAGCTTACACATGTAAAACCATACCAAGAAGAACAAAAAAAAAATAATAAATCAAAATATTGAAAAGTTTTCACTGATACCACATTTCTCCCCACAAGGGACACCTTGATTTTCAGCATTTTTTAAAAAATGAATACTTTAATGAATACCACCTGCAGTGCCCATGTTCTCTGAAAAATCAGGCTCAAGATAGGTACCACCTGGCACCAAAAAAAGCTCATGAACCCAGCACTGGTGTGCAAGTGGCTTGAAACATGCTAAAACAGCATTAGAACATGGTCTAGTATCTTCATATTGCCAATTCTGGTCTATGCACTAGACACAGCCTCTCCTCCAGAATAATCAGTAAACTAAGTGCAGGGAAAAAGGCATATAGAAATTAAAATATATGCCATGATGAGAGAGAAAAATTCATATGCACAAATAGTTAAAGGTATCTTTCCCTGTAAGGAGATGTCCTAAACATAAGGCCAAGTTGCTCTCTGTCCTTATTCTGTACATGCAACTGAATTTTGTATTATGTAGTGCAAAGAGGACCTTCAACAGGATTAAGAGCAACTCCCTAAAATACTCCCAGAACATCCTGTGGCTTGTTGATTATGAAACCCTCCAGAGATATGATAGGAGTTTGAATTCCCTCGTGTTGAAATAGAAACTGAACTCAGATATCCCACCTTCTGAGTGAATGCTCTAACCGCTGAGCTGTTGTACAAAAGCAATGCTTCTCTGCCACTTGTGTTGAAAGTCGCTGATATCACCTTGGGTTCTGGTGGAAATAGCTTATGCCTCTAACTCCAAGAGAGAGTTTGAGGCTGCAAATTCCACCTTCAGCCTCAGCAAGGAATACAGCACAAGTTAAATAGATTTCGGTCATTTTTATTTCTTCTCTTCGGCTTTTGATCCAAGCGTCGCAATCTCTTTTTAATTCTCCGTCCACCCACACAGGCGGATATTATGTCCTTCCCTGTGGGCTGAAAACTCCATGCGGGGATCAAGATCTACAAAAGATAGGTGCCAAAGCATTTGGTATCAGTCCTATTTATGGATCTAAACTCTGAATGCCATGATAAGAATATAACTTCCCTCCCTCACAGGGGATGCCAGGTGCCTGCACAGTAAAATGGTGAGGGCCACATTGGTGCTTAACATAAAATACCCAGAGAAGCAAGGGATCACCCTCACAGGACATGTCTATGATTCTTCAGATATTTAGACCTGGTGCAGCATTTAAGACTAAACCTTACTAGGCTTATTATCAGAAAGCACTTCTATACCTGAATGTAGCTGAAGATTTTCCAAGATAAAAATGCTTCAGCTGCTGACATACCATCTGACAGCTGTCCATGCATCCCGTTCCTCCTCCCTTGGGAGGGAGGGATGGTAGAAAAAGAAAAGAACATTGCCCTTGATATGGCTGTTCTGGAAAAATCTCCCTTTAGATATAGACCTACGTTCCAAATTACTACCTTGAATGGCAAAAACCTGCATGCTTACGTGGGCAGAGGGATCAAAGGTGGATCAATAAGAATAATAAAAAAGGACTGTGTTTATTCAAGATAATGGATAGTAAAACAAACCTCAGTGGTTCACACCTTAAAAGGTGCTGGTCATCTTCTAAGACTGCTACCCAAATGAGGCTACTGAGAATGACAAAGCTTAGGGTTTCTCCCACTGCTGAAGTTATTCAAAACTCAAAATTATCTGAAATTCCTTTGCCCAAAATCACTCCCTGTTTAAATATAACAAGTTAGCATAAAGACCCTTTCATCATCAGGATGCAAAAAAATGGGGTTTGTTCCACATCCGTATAAGGGTTAAAACCACCACAGCATTCCCCTTCCTGCTGCAAACAGCTACCACTGGCAGGATCTCTCTGATTATAGTCTATTATAAGATGAGAAAGTATTTATGAATCACAATCATTTTTGCAGG